GAAAAATATGTCAAACAACTTTTGAATAGGAACGATGGCCAAAAAGCATAAAATCTTATGATAATATTTGACTGTTAGTTTCGATAGATGGAGCCGACAAAGTTTGTGAGTGACAAATTTGTAGTACAATAAAATATTTATAATATAATATATTTATAAGCGATACAGGCCGTCTTGGGCCTCTTGTTTTGTCTCAGAATGAAGTGAAGACAAAAGTTTGCTCAAAACTTTATAGCTCATGAAGATCTATTTTCTTTTCTGTAAATTTTCTATGAACAAGTTGTATAAAAGTTGATTTGATCAAAGGGCTCTGGAATGATGACAACTGAAGAATTCAAAGTTGACGACAAAGGCCAGATCGCTTCTGTAGGTCCACTTAACTACAAAGTCCCAGGGATAAGAAACATCCCAAGGCAGATGAATGTCAAGCTCCTCAAATACGGTGAAGGTCCGAAGACAGTCTACTCGGCCAAGGTAAAGTAGCAATGTCAAAAAATGAAATGTAATATTGTTTGCACATTCTATATAAAGATTCCGATGCTCAAAAATGTTGAGTTGTTCTATTCACATCAAAGCACCGTGCTTGTTGAGTGTAACACAATCTAGTGTATAACGTTGTAACATCTATAAGTGAAATGAGGCGTTCAAGTATTATAAGGCCTATTACGTTACATTAACAGGGCATAGGGGAACCGCCACTTCTCCTGGCAGCATCGGTGTTTTATGCTATCCGGGACGCAGTATTGGCCGCAAGGAAAGAGGAAAACCTTACCGAGGACTACTTCTTTAAATGTCCGGCGACCGTAGAGAGAATTCGTATGGCTTGCCAAGACAAAATTACCCAGAAGGTGAAAAATTAGTACATTAACGTGTTATTGTTGTTATTGTAAGTTAAGTAAGCTTCGTTAACTTCAGTCATCATAATGTTTTTTGTACAGTTGCTAGGCAACCAGCAACGACACATAATCTAAAACCAGTATTCTTGCAATAAAAGAATTCAAAACCACTCGATCAGCGTCATATTTTTTCTGTTTACTTTTTTGTTGATGTCAGAGTTGAAAGCTTATCTGCATGTCATTATATTTTTGATAAGAAGAAATAAAAAAA